AACGCAGAGCGATTTGAAAATGCATTCCGAAGCCTTAATCCGAGCGATGAATTACAAAGGGGAGGATGCTTGAGGCTTGTAAATCCGCAGGATTAGGTCTTCGAAATGTTCCGTCTGCAAATGTCATGGTACCGACAGCTCTTCACAAAATATGCTCAGAGTGCCGGCGTTCGAAGTAAAATCACATCCGCGATTAAAGTAAAAGCCCACGAAATATTTCCCAAATGGTATTCGGATACCGTGGATTATAGAGATCATCGTTTGCAATTATTAGAATTTCTTGTTACGGTTCTCTATAAAAACTCAAAGTGGCTATTGAAAAACGAGGTAAATAGCGTCAGGGAGGGCAAACGCGATAAAAAATTGAAAGAACTGAAATAAATGTAAGCCAGGGATCACTAGAGCAGCGCTTTCTATTTTCAGCATTTTCTCTTTCTTTCCAAGTTTTTGCTATTTTTCCTCAGGTTTCATAGTATTTTCTTATTTTTCAGTTTTGGCCTTGAGCCTGTTTTTTAAAACACTGTGTTACGCCTACGGTTTCGTGATAACGCATTAAAAAAAAGCCTTACGTGCTTTAATGGATCCAACGCCGGCTCGTGAATAGCGGACCTTGGTGTAGACACTAATATGTGCGGGCCTGTACACTTGGTACACTCGCAGCTCCTGCTGCTGGAGCACCAACACGGATCCCTGCTCACTATCAAATTTATGGAATCCAATGGGTAATCAATATTACAAATTCACCCGCGTCAACTACTTTCCGTTTAAATAAAACACTTCCTTTTTATCAAAAATTTAATCTTATATTCCAACGCGTGTCCGCTAAAGTCAAAAGTACGAGTTCGATTGAATTATGTATATGTAAGAAAGTGACGCCTTAGCCCAAGTGGAAGGTAAATAACTGTTTTTAGGTGCAGTAGTACCAACAGTAATGACAGTGCTGAATAGCGCTGCCATATCGATAGGGTTACCATTCCATCATCCTCCCTTGGAAAGATTATTGTAAGGTGATCAGGCTTTCAATAATCTATTGCTCCAAGAGGCGATGGCAAATTGATGTGGAGGAATGGGATGCATAATCAAATGATCATTTCCTTCCCCCTTAACTTATTCGTCCATATCAATTTGAATATATTTACAGAATTCAAAAAAAAAGGTTTTCCACTTGAACTAAGAAACGCTATTATTTTGTCTTAATTAACTAAATCTAATAATTTAATTTAATAATTATACAAGGATTAAAGTTTCTTTGGGTGAAATCCTAAGTTTTTCTTATTTATAATTTGTATGGAATATATGTATTTCGGTAAAATTTGATATTTGTTTTCTTCGTTTCTTGTAGAATTTTTTAAATTTGGATTTACAAAATATGGAAATTTTCAATATGTTCCTTATAATATGAATTTGTGTAATATACTAACATTTGTATATTTAAATTATGTTTCCCGTTTCTTTTTTCAATCGATTAACGTTTAGGTATGTTTATTGTGCTGGTTTTTTTCATATAAATTTAATTCTTTGATTTAGCTTAGTATTTAAACATTATAACTGAGTACATTATATTTCTTATATATCTATATTTTCTTAAAATATAGAAATTCATACGTAATTGTAAATTTGCAAAATTAAATTATGTGATTTCTCGTATTTGGTTTTTATGGATCGTCTTTGCTTTATATTTCTTTTTATCAAAAATAGTAATGTTAACACCATCTACTTTAGTTACAACGTGAGGACCCTCATATATACTTTCATGCTTGATTCTGGGTTCTTTTTGTACTAGAACCAGATCGTTTTCTTTAATCTGTACTGGACGAGCGTGTTACGGATTTTATGTTTATTAATTAATTCTTTTCGACATTATATATCTTTTCTTTTCGCAATTCGCTCGGTAATGTTGCTTTTTTGCAGAAAACTAGTTCAAAAGGAGTGAATTGGTTATCAAAAACGGTATTAGGCGTTGTATTATGTAAAAAGGTGAAATATTTCAAATAAGTGTCCCAGTCAGAAAATGTTTCGCTCAAATAAGCGCGTAAATATTCGTTGAAAACTCTATGGTTCCGTTCAATCGTTCCCACAGTTTCGTTATGGTGTGCTGTCGAAAAGTCATGCTTAATTTTTAAAAGTTTGGTTAATTCGGCAAAAAGTTCGTTTTTATATTCAGTCCCTAAACCAGATTTTATAGAGTGCATAATGCCATATACTAAAATGAAACTTTCAAAAATTGCTGATGCAACAGTTTTAGCACTCTTATCTGGTACTAGAACAGTAACTAAATATTTGAGAGATCGCAAATAATGGTAACTGCGAACTTATTACCATATTTCGATTCTGGTAAAGGTCCTATTGTATCGATAACAACAATATCAAACGGTTTATTCGGCGTTGGGGTTAGTACAAGTTTTTCTTTAACTTTCGGTTTTACTTTATTTAAAAGACATTTTTGACAATTTTTAACATATTTTGCGACATCACGGGTCATATTTTTCCAGTAATATTTTGTTCTAAGTTTCGCATAAAATATTTTCATGCCACAGTGACCTCCTGATATTGGGTCGTCGTGATAAATTGTCATTAGTTTTAGTTTTTCGTCATTTTCAGTCACAGTCTCGACTGGATCTATTAAAATTATTTGTAATGATTTTAAAATTATATTTCCGCTATTTTTTAAGCTAGCAATTGTGAAATGACGGAAAAATGCATCGTCGTTTGGCCATTCAATCTCCATAACTCTGTGTTCGCTGGCTTCAATTTCAAGCCTCGAAAGTAAATTATCGAAATTCATTATTTCGTTAGCAAATACATAATTAAGTAACTCGACTTTTTTATGTTTAATATGTGCACAAATTCGTAAATTTTTAATTTTATTATATTTATCATAAATAATTTCTGATCTAATACGCGGTATGTTTTTCGAATAGTTGTAAGAAAATTTATCATAAACGTTTAATGTCTCCTGTTTTTCATTTTCGTTATTATCTGTATTTTGTGTAATTCCATTTTCTTGTCTAGTCATTGATCTCGTCTGTACTGCCAAAATACTTTTCGTTGATTCCCTTATTTCGTCTATCGTTATACGTGAGAGTGCGTCTGCGCCAACATTTAATTTTCCTTTAATATATTCGATTGTAAAATTGTATTCTGCTAGTTCTAACCTTGTTCTTGAAAGTTTTGAAGAGGGGTCTTTCATATTGAACAGGTATACCAATGGTCTGTGGTCTGATTTTACTAAAAAATGCGTTCCATAAATGTATGGTCGAAATTGTTTAATGGCAAAGTAGATTGCTAAAAGTTCTAATTCAATTATTGGTTTTTTCTGTTCTGCATTGTTAAATGCCTTCGAAGCAAAACATATAGGAAAATCGCGACCTTGCTGTTCTTGGCTAAGTATAGCGCCACACCCTGTTTTTGAAGCATCAACTGTAATAATAAATTGCTTTGTAAAGTCTGGATATTGTAGCAGTT